ACATAAGTCGAGCGTCTCCACCCGGGTAGCAGTCGTACAAATTTTATGAGAAACACTTTAGAATATTTTAGTAAAAAAAGACAATCACAAAGTTTTCTTATCAACTTAGTATAACTCTTACATAGAGCCTAATTAATCTCTGCGCATGTGTTGTGAGGTTTGCTAAAATCTTAGGAACTACATGTTTATCAATTCATTATTTCTGTTTGATATAAATCTTTTCAAATAGGATTATTTGATCGCAAATCTACTCTTATAGGTTTCAGTATGTCTAAGCATGAGATTAGACCTGTATTTTGTAGCCTAATCTGTTAATAATCTGAGAATCTAACATATGCCATTTGATAATGACTTTAAAATTTCAAAGTTGGCTCGAAAATGATGTTTTTATTTCAAACTGTTGAAAAGGTAAAACGATAGTCGTCTAAACTATTTTTGCTTTATACCATACTCTAGCATGCACTTCAGAATATATTCCATGTTTGCTGCTAATATCAACCACATTTTTTCATTAAATCGAATCTATAGACGTGTCTGTCTCTTCAGCTTCTGCAGATTGAAAATTACAACAGACAAGTCGTTGTATATTGACACTTCAGAGCAGCAGTTGGCGAGTTACACTTAATTAACTCCCAACAATTCACCTTCTGTGTTACTATTGATTGTTTATTTCAGACAGTGTTAGTTTTATACGACCGAGATATGTAATTTGATTGACGTTTTATGCGTCTAAACTTAATACTTTATGTTGGTAACAATATCTTGGTGAGGGAATCAGGAAACGTAGGCGAAAACCGAACTAAACACGACCCATTGCATTGAATTTAGACGCATATGCTAACTGCAATCAAAAGAAATGTGACCCCTAGACTAGAAAATTAGCACTTGCATTCAAGTATTGTAACTATTTTGTGAACAATTAGCGAACAGTTTCAGGTGCCGTAAATTTTTGAAGTTTGAATGCTTGTTCCCAAATTTGTCAGTCACAGTGATAAAGAGTTTTCCACAGAGCCACCGGTACAAATTATAACATTTATTCATGAAAAAATTATAAGTCGAAAAACTGAAAAAAAGTTGTCAGATTTTTGTTTAGCAAAACCAAGAAATTCCCGAAACAGTTTCAAATTTCAGAATTTGTATTGGCGTTTGGCAACCATCTGCGCTCCCAACTGGTAAAATATATCACCAGATCTTAGTTAAATTTGCTTCGCCCTTGTCTCGACAGAACTTTACGGCATTTTTGTATCTCTTTAAAAGAAACGCTATTGCTTTAACGTCTTCGCTTTATTTGCAATTGATCTTTTATCTAGCATGGGAAAAACGGTTTTGATCAAAAATCAAACAAACGATAATGGAAAATACATAATTTATGCATTTGCATTTTCCAGTTCGGTTGTATTTCAAATCGTTATCTTCCAAAATTATTTGGTTTGACCGGTTTTGAGGCAAAATTTTAATAGTTTCTGCTATTTTCAAGCTTTTTCTGCATTGCGTTATTTTCTGTCTAATAAGATGCGTCTTATTTATTGTTGCCGAATTTTAGTTTACCTTTAGTGAGATTTCAGTTATTATATCAAAAACAGGGTGTCTAATAAATTGAACCAAAAATACAATTAAGAAAATTTAGAAGAAATTGATCTGTTATCGGGTGTGGAGATTGCTCACAGACTATATTCTTTAAATTTCAGTTCGAGTTTTCGTGAACGCCATTCAATTAATTGAAGTTGAATCGTTAGAGCTGTAGCACAGTTTCATTTCAAAATTGTTTTAAATTTTTTGATATAAGGCTTTTTGTTCCGACTTTCATAACGGAAGTAACGGAGTATTTGTGCTCGGGTGTTTTTTTTTCTTCAGACAAATTTCGACTTTTTAATTAGCCATTTTTGACGAGATTTTTCTATATCATTCAAAACGTATTGTTGTCCTGAGCTTGAAATCGGAAAATGACTTCACCTGTGATTAGTTTTTGTAAAATTTTGGGGGTTTAAAGATTGCTATTTGGCCAATTTGGGGCAACTAACGCGCGATATATTTCGATCTATTAACGTGTAATCGGAGATTTAATCCGTCTTAGAAATCTTTCCAAATTGGTTGACGGACGCTTATTTGCCCTAATTGATTTTTTCACTAGGAGCGAAATCTACGCTATTGTACTTTACATGGCGTATGGGGGGATGATTTTCACAAAAAATTTCAAATAAAAAAAATGTTTCATTTTATTAAATTTAATTATTTTTTCATGTTGTTACTGCTCCATGGACCTTAAAAGGCAGTCGGAACCTTCACGGCTTCACCCTGATACGAACAGTCTTGTTAACCATTTATAATAACAAAACTTCTCGTGTCAGAGAGAAGCCTTTTGTGTTCCGACTGCCTTTTTAGGCCTATGGAGCAGTGTTTGCCTAAAAAAAAGTTGATAAATTTTTCAAAAAACAAATGAAAAAAAAAACTTTTTCTTTGTTTTGGAAATTTTTATATTCCCCAGAAGCCCCATAAATTTCGCTCCTAGTAATGTCTCAATTATGTCAAATAACGTGCTTCAACCACTTAGGAACAATTTCAAAGACGATTTACATCGCCACTTGCACGTTAATATCGCGAAATGTATCACGCGTTGATTGCATCAAATTGGCCAAAATGGTCAAATTGGCAACCTGTAATCCCCCTTTCTTTAAGAAATACAATCACAGGTAATTTTTTTTTTAAATTTGAGCTCAGAACAACAAAACAACACGGCTGATTTAAAGTTAATTGTCAAAATGTCTGGAGAAAAAACCATCCCGAGCACGCAAATATATTGTCAGTTTCTTCGAAAGTTGGAACAAAAATTTTTATCTGTTCGAGGTTATTTTCATCTTTTAGTGTGTTTTCATCATAAGTATAAACGTCAGTTTTATACCAAACAGTTATTGTCCACATTGCGTTTTATTCATATCGCCATTCGCTTGTCTACTTTCTGAGCTCCCCCCCCCCCAAAAAACATGAAAACCAAGACCGCATTTGTCGCTTTATTTAAATTTTGGTGGGTTTTGAAGTAATCAAGGCGACAATACTATCCAAGTAAGTAGGCATTGGCATACTTGAACATTGAAACAGAGGATAAGAGGGCTCGCTTTTTGTGCTCATATACTCTCCCAGCCTGAAACTGAATCGGAACTGCAAGTCCATTTTTTAAGTAATTTTCCAGCCATTGTTTGGGATCTCAACCTAGCCTTGATTATTTTACTGCAATATACACAAACATTTTTAAAAATTTGATTTTTTCTGATCATTTCCAGATTTTTCTATCAAAATACTTCACGAAAAAACAATTTCTCAGAAAAACCAATAATTTTTTAATTTTAAAAAAAGAACAAAGGTGGTCTAATTTTTTGTTTTCTGATTGATTCCATTATTAAAAAAATAAATTTTATTCCATTTGCCCTTTTAGAAAATAAAGTTTTATTATGTACTTCTAATAGCCTGTATTTCAGATCCTACGAATCAAATACATTTCGAGGTTCCGTAAATAAGTTAATGTTGTAAAATTCACATTTTACAAAGGAGGAGTTTGAAAAGAGACAAGACTGCTCGTATCAGGGCAAAGCTCTGAATGTTCCGACTGCCTTTTAAATAAGGTCTATGGAGCAGAAATAACATGAAAAAATTAAATGTGAAAAAGAAAAAAAATTAATGTTAATAAAAAAAATGAGATTTTTTGTGAAAAACATCGGTCCACACGCCATATAAAGTACCAAGTGATAAATTTCGTTCATTGTAACAAACTAGTTATGGCAAATAAGCTTCCGTTAACCAATTTGGAACGATTTCTAAGACGGATTAAATCTCGGCTCATGCGTTAATAGCACGAAATTTATCGCAGGTTAATTGTACCAAATTGACCAAAAGGCCGATTTTTAAACCCCCATAATTTTACGAAAACAGATCACAGATAAACTACATTTTCAAATTTAAGATTAGGACAACAATAGTTTTCGATTGATATAAGAAAATTCCGTCAAAAAAGGCTAGTTAAAAAGTCAAAATTTGTCTGAAGAAAAAAAAACCCCACCCCGAGCACAAATATTCCGTTACTTTCGTTATGAAAGTCGGAAAAATAACTGCGAAGAGCTAGAAGAGTTCCAGCTTGAATAACTCAGTGTAAAAAATTGTTGTGGCCTACATTTGCACAGATTTTTTTCTTCTAATAAATTATGCTTTGATATAAAAACAAAAATTGATAATTGTGGTTTTGTATGAAAATTTGAGATTGGACTACGCTATCAAAAACTGTTGCTTTGTGATTCAAATAATTTTTTGGACCCAATTTTTTAAGCATAGAAATACGTTTCCGATCAAAAAACCTTGCTTGATGATTCATTGGAGAATCATGATTGAAATATAACTTATTTAAATGATTCACATATGAAACATGGATGCAAATTGCATTGATTTTTTTTCATGAAGCATAAATGAAACCTACATGAACTTTGTTCATCTAAAGCGGCTGAAAAAAATTGATATTTGTGGATCAAATTTTTTAAGGTAAAAAAATATTTGAAAATTTTTGAAAATAAGTTTTGACTTCAAAGCATTTCCGTTTCAGCAACTCTCAACTTCTTTGTTTAGGTCAAACATCATCACGGCGTATAATGTAGTTTATATTTCCATGTTCATACATGTGCCATCAATGTTTATGAATTTGCATATTTATTTGATATTATAAAAAAGTTAATGTATGTATTATGACTGGCGCGTCCCTTAATGTATCAAAACACAGCAAAAAAACGGTACATGCATGATTTGCATGGCAACTTCAACCTGGGAAAAAATAAAATGAAAAGGGTTTAGATAATAATTGAGTTCATATACTATTTAATATTCAGACCAGGAAATCTCCAGTGAATCAAATTTTCTAGTTTTTAGTTGTTCTCAATATGATACCACTGTTTATAAAACGCTAAATGTTCCGGTTATACCTCATTTTGCTTGTTTATCCCCTAAAATAGACAATTGGAGATAGTCTTATGCAGATTATACAGATTTTTGACTTTTTTCAGCCTCTCAAAGTTGATTATGAAGTTATCAGGTGGCTGATTACAGTTACGTCAGTTTTTGTTATTGTTTATCATTTCTTCAGTTGTTTTTGGTACCAGCTGAAAACCATTGCTATTCTGGTCTCAATAAATTGACAGTTGACCACTTTAATACTTTTTACTCAATTTTTCCAATACGGGTTAAGTCAAACAAAGTTATTTTCAAAATTATTTATTACTGTTTTGTGAGTAAAAAAGGATAACGTTATAAGTTGAAAGAGGTTAACGTCGCCTTCCCAAATTTTTTTGAGAGCGCAATATCTCTGCGCCCCAAATTTGACCCCTTCCTTCTTCCGCCCCCCCCCCCCCCCCCACATACTATTTTTGGTTTTTCCGCTAAATTTATTATGAGATACCTTTTGATCTTATAAAGTAGATGGAATTGAGATGACTTATGAAGGTGATTAATAAATTTTATCAATTTTTATCCAACCAATGGTTTACTAAGTTGAAAAAACCAGTCAGAGTTTTTTCCTAAATCGAAAAATCAGATTCCTAATCGTTTATATATTGAAAAGCTTATGAATTTAAGAAATTTATTTATATGTCTTCAATTTTTGTTAGTAATTTGACAAATGAAGAGCCTCTGGTAATCGGAGCGAAACAAAAAGAACGCCAACTTTTGCCACATAAATAACCCGGGGATAAACTTTACATCATGTGAAAAGAAAGTACGGCCCTCTTTTGATATGAAAAATTCACGCCTCAAGCCAGCGGAAGGAAAACACGACACCTGAGTGCATTAAAACCTCAGTTGATTTGCATAAATTATGCTCCCGGGTGGGTTCAAAAAGTACATCTGAAGGACATTGTCACTTGGGCTATCAGTTTCCCCTACAAGATTGCGAGCGTAAATGTAAACACATTTATATCGCAGCAATTTTTGGTTACCTTAGTTCCATTTGGTTTGTTCGAGGGCTTATTGTTCTTTCAATTTTTTTTCTTGAATTTCTCCTGGCAAACTGCGATTGCATACTTCTTTTTGGTTTCTCTGGTAAGACAATTTTGTTGCAAAATCTGAATTGAAAAAAATTCTCGGGGAAATCATAGAAACAGTAGTTACTCTATTTTTCCTTACAAAGTTTCATAAATTATTATTATTATATTATACATAAGGCTTCAAAACATTTTATATCAAAAAATGTCACAAAATAGTACCAAAGGGGTCAAAAACCTGCAAACGCGCGTCCACCCAGATCCCCTTCCTAAACTTCTCCCCTCTCCCCGCCTGAACTGTTGATATGACATAGCGTGTATATCTAAATTTTCAAATGGGACCGGACGTCACATATAAAATCTCAGTTTTCAGTTCTGATAAAAAAGCTGATAGTTGAGGTTTGATTTGAGACAAACGAAATTGTGAGGCATATTTATTTTATCAATTAAGCAATTTGGATTTTTTCCCGCTCGCATCAATTCCAAGTTTCAAGCGTTAATAAACTTGGAATTGATATGGTGCTTTTTGTAGACGTGCTTTTTGTGCTTTTTATAGACGTTGATTTCTATTTTTCACTTACTGTTAGAAGCTTTCAACTAATACGAGAAGATTATATGATGATTTTAGTAGCAAATTTACTAAAGTTGAGAAAAAATTGATTTCAATCAATAAATAATCAATTATAAACACTTTTTTTGTAATCAAATTGTAATCTATATTAATTTTACTCAATTATAATCAAGTAAACTTTTTCAATCAACTTTTCAACCAACTTCTTTTCAACCATTTTTTTTTGATATAATTTCAATCGATTATGGTCAATTATAATCGATTAATTTCATCCAAGTTTCCAACTCAAATATTTTGCACAAAAAGACTCTTTTAATCGATTATGATTCCATTTGTCTGCCCACCTGGTCTTCAACATCGCATGTGAAATGTTTATAATTTGTGCTTTTTGTAGACGTTGATTTCTATGAAAAATGCAAAAATTGTTTTGAAATGTTCTTGTTTCCATTCGAAATTATAACGTTTTTTTTTCTTCTTCCTTAAATTGTTTCATGATGCACATTTTGGGTTTTACAATTACCAAAATATCAGTCATTTGCTGTAGCTTCATTTGGCAAATTTATTTGGAAATTATATTTTTCACTTACTGTTAGAAGCTTTCAACTAATACGAAAAGATCTCTATGAAATTTTTGTTTCGTGGTATATATTTGAGTTCAGATGAGTCAAGCTGTGACTAGGCATCTCATTTTTAGAGATTTTGTTATTTACAGAAAAAAAACCCATAATTTTAGTGAGACAAAAATTTCGCAATATAGGAGAGTACAATTGATTATAGTTGACAATGATTTAATGAGTTGTTTGTATAAACTAGAATGAAGAATAATTAATTCAAAAAAATCTTTAGTCTCGTGGAAAATTTAACAGTTTTTTTCGATTACATATCCTTTAGACAACTAAGTTTGGTTAGTATAAATAATTATAATTGTTTAACAAAATAACATTATAATCCTTCATAATCGATTAGTTACGCCTAACCTTGGACTCGGGCGGGCTATGCTCACAAAAAATTCAAGCTGAACTAGTGTGAATACATAGATTGACATCGATGAATCAGGCTTTGATCAATGCTATTTCAACACTGTTCAGTAAAAATTTTAAAAAGAGTGAAAATTTTAGAAAGAAAAGTTCAGAAAAAAAATTTTAAAAATAAAGTTAAATTTTGGTTGACTTGCTTGCGCAAACATAAGCAATTTTCAAAAAGATCAACAAATTTTTTAATGTCCAAGCGCTAATTCTTCGATGCCTTATCGCCGATTCATCTCTGACTCATCATAGAACATCGCTGATTTATCGCTGGCATGATTTGCTATTTTACATTTTTGCTGATTCAATGATTGATTCATTTTTACACTAGCTGATTCATCCACAATAGATTGCTAGCTTATTCTAATTTTTTCTTCGATATAAAAGTAAGCAACTGACTGTTGAAAAAAGAAGATAATAATAATTTTATGAGTGCAAGTTATTTATGAAACTAATTTAAGCAAATATACGCAATGGAAATCGGAATACACTAATCTGCGTATATTAATTGAAACAACTGTTTAAATTGAATCGTTAGCAAAGATTTTTACACCATCTGCTAGCTCAGCTATCTTATTTGAGGAAAAAAATATTTACAACTTAGATAGAGTGTTAAGTTCACTCAGTTGTTTTTCGATTTCTAAGAAAATTAGTATTTGACCACAAGGTTTGTTCACCCAAGTTATCAAAATGAATCAATGGGTTTGGTGGCAGTGTTTAAGCCAAGTTCTATTATTTTCCACCAATCAAAAAATAATTTTTGTAATTTTTTAATGTATGGGCATTTGAGAATAAGCGCTGAACACCTGTCAAAAACTAGCACGCTTTACTCTATGCTTTACTCTAAGAAAACTTTTGAGTGACTGTTTTTTATTGATATTTGCGAATGATGATTGAACAACTGACAAACACCAACTTGTTTTAATCTTTTCTGTAAATTGACCTGGGTAACTTTTCTTGCCGTTTATTTTCAAGATTGGGAATTGTTTTTTGGAAATAGAGCTGAAAGGTTTTATAAGACTTGATTTGGAGAACTAATTCTGCTACAAAACTTTAGCCAAAACTATTCGCCTCAGAAGTTGTAAAATAGCTCTCATGCTCATTTATATACACAAGAATGATTTATCAATCATTTTTTTTCGAGTTAGTTCCAGGGCTTTTTAAGGTTAATTGCGCGCATCTCAAATTAAAGTGCAACGACAACAAAAAAGTCATTCTTGACATAATTTTTTTGATACCCTGAGCTTTATTATTCGACTAATGTTTTTAAACCTCAACTATTATTTTTTGAAAACTTGTCAAATACTTGGTTAGCAAATTTGTGAAAAAAACACAATCAACTTGAAGTTTACCATGGAAAAGGCTTCAACTGAAACTGGAAATAATATACACGTCAATTGAAACGCACATTGTTTTTAATCATTAGTGAAAACAAAGTGCAAAAAAATCATATAAATCAGTGAATATATGCCTTTTGTACCCTTTTCTAAGTATTACTTTTAGAAAAGTTTTGAATTCTAAATGGAAAATCATCTCTTACTCAAAAATAGGTATCATTTCTTCTAGAAAAAGTTAAACTATTTTGGTTCAACTGACCAGAATTGGTAGCGTAGCAAACAGTTCCACAAAATTACAAGAGACTTTTATATTAGTGCAAGCAGCGAGGAGAGCTTTTTCTAGGCCAACTTTTTATCTGGTAACTTTCAAACAGTTGTTTCGCTCTTAGATTTCCAAAATTGTATTCCATTATATCTGCTGCAATTTTTAGATCAACTGTACAGTTCCTCCACCTTAAACCAATCTAGGGGGAGAAAAAAGGTTTTGAGTATAGCCTAGGTTTGTTCAAAGTTACATTACGAGGCCAAATTGTGCTTTTTTAATTGTAAGCGGATTCCGCAACAGCAAAAATCAGTTTTGTCGCGGAACCCGCATTATTGCTATTTTTGTTTGATCTTCCTTGCTTTTTTGGATTCCACGGACATTTAGCTAAAACACGGTGTTGCTCAAAATTGCTCCAAAACAGACAATTTTGCGGAATCCGCACCAAAATGTGTTGAATTCGGAACCTGTTTGTGAACAAGTTGTGAACAGTTGTGAATCCATGAACAAATATTAACATAAGTGTTTAGTAAACTTAAGCTGTCGCGGAATCCGCAGCTGTAAGCTGATTCTGCAAATTGTAAGCGGAATCCGCAAACTGTAAGCGGAATCCGCATAATTTTGCGGAATCCATCTTACATTTGCGGAACCCGCTTACATTTGCGGAATCCGGAACATCTACCTATATTCACTCGTAGCGGAATCCGAAACAAAATCAATGTGCCGACAAAACTTGCGTTACAGCTATTTGAACGCGGAATCCACTGAAATTACTCAAAAAATTGAATTAAAACTTTAATCTAGGTAATTAATAGCATGCCGATTCAATCCCGCATAAAAAAGTTGAAAACAATTTTATTAGCGCGTTTCTATGAAATATATATTTTATACAGAAATATTTTTTAGAATAAACATAAGCTTGGCGTGGGTATTCTACGATAGTTCACTTGGGCATTAGGGGGGTAGATGTACGGTTGATCCCAAATTTTTCGACTCCATTCTTTTCCCA